GCATGCACTGTGATTTCCTCAGGTGCTCTGTAAATAACATGCACAGTGTGCTTCACTGTCGAGGCCTCTGCATCCTGGGCAGAGCTGGACAGAGCAGAGACACAGCTTCCCTTGGCCAGTTGTGGGCAGCACTGAAAGTATGTGACTTTCACAGCATGCTCTCTGGTAGTTGAATTTCCTGCACAGCTGCTGGGCAGTTAAATACATAATGAAAGCAGAGCTGTTGTTGGGGTGCAGCTGCCACCACCTCTGTCTGTGTGGTGGCACGGACCGCTCTGGGTGTGAAAGAGTTTAGATCCCTTCTCCCCAGAATTACATGTATCCTTTTGTTGGTCTTTTGGGCATGGTGTGGAGAAGAGGGGTTTATAATAGTGTCTCAGTGGGAAACTAGGATGCTGAAAGAGGGGTTTTTTTGTTGTATATTAATGGAGTTGTCAATGTTCAGGTCTCCTTTGCCTGAGGAAATGGCAGCCAGCTGCATCAGCACCATGGTGGTTGCTGTGTTATGGTGGGAACAGTTATTTCCACTCATCTTTCTCTGCATCAGATTTAGACCTTTCCAGGAGAAAAAAAGAAAATAAGAAATGGAGATTCTAATGATGAAGTGGCAATTTTCAAATTGTTATAAGTAAATACTGAGGTTGAAAACTGTAGGAACTTTTTTTTAGAAACATAGCTTTGGTTTCTTCTTAGTTGATGTTGTAGATGAAACAAATGAAAGTCTGGAAAATAATTTGCCTGTCCAGGTATGGGCCTGTGCTGGAAACCTAAGTTACTATTCAGGCATTTCAGAATAATTTATTCCAAATAGAACACTTACTAATTTTTTTTAAGGAACTTACAAATCTCTTGCATTCTGAATGGATAACTTTTTTTTTTTAAACTGCAGATGCAGACAGAGGGAATAGTTTCATTAAAAAGGTTCCCGTTTCATTTTATTTTCATGGGAAATTTGTGTTTCTTCAACCATTGTGAAGCCGATACTAAAATACTTTTTCTTTCAGAAAACTTGAGAAAAATGGATTTGGGTCAGTCTGTTTTCTAGGGCCAGCATTATGTTTCTCAGTAGATACTGTCTTTCAAGCTTCAAAGTTCCATTTAGTGTAAATCTTTCTTCAGCTCCTCAGGCTAATGGGCCTCGAATGAAAAGTTGCGCTGTGGCCTTTTCTGTCCTGTTGAAAAGTGTGAGGAGTTACTCAGTAGGAAGGCATACCTTTTTGCAGGCATATTTAGTGTTATTCAGAAGTTATAAAAGGAAAGAATAAGTTTTTTATTTACTTAAATCCTGTATTCC